ATATATATATATATATATATATATATATACACAGTCATGTCGGTTAACATCCAACCGAAGAACGTTTGATCACATATCGTCCGTGGCAAAAAAAAAAACTTCCGTGGCGCTTGCTGGACCACCACTCAACGACCCCCTGACGGAGACACAATGATCCTCCCCATACTGGCCAGATATTATGTGTTAAAGGAATATCCTTCCTTCATTAGGCTTTAGTAAGCATTTGCCTCTAGGTGTAATGTTAACCTACATCTATTGAGGATAAAATCTTTCACCTACTAATTGACAATAACACATTTGCTATAATCAGACATATCTAGTTACCTCAACAATTGCAACCCCAGTTGCAATTGGGGTTGCAATTTCAAATTCTGTGTCATTACTTTTTACTTTTACTTTTATCCTCTTCGCCACTGATCGGCTTGTTAGCCGCTTGGGCGATCGGTCACGACTCTTTTCCTTTATATTCTTCACCAAAAGGTCGGCTCGCTAGCCGCCCGGGCGATCGGTCACGTCTCTGTCACGCACTGTTGGCAAATACTGGGCATGCACCGGCTCCTGAATGTACCTGAACCCGCTCCAGTGTTGGTCAAGTCTTCTCTTGAAAGAGCTCACACTCGGTGCCGTCACAACACTCTCTGGTAGATTGTTCCAAGAGTTTACAACCCTCACTCCGAAAAAGTTTGCCCTCACGGTTTTCTGGACTTGCGGCTTCTTCAATCTTGAGCTGTGACCCCTTGTGGGGCGAGCGTCCGCCAGCTCCAAGTAAGGACACTCAACTGAGTAGTGCCCCCTGAGATGCTTATAAACCTCAACTAGGTCCCCCCTTGCCCGTCTGTAGTATAAGCTAGGCAAGTTCAGGCGCTCCAATCTCGCAGGGTAGCTGAGATGCCGAAGTGCAGGCACCAGCTTGGTGGCCCTCCTTTGAACATTTTCAACCAACTGACAGTCCCTAGCATATCTCGGGGACCAGATGGGGTGACAGTACTCCAGATGGGGAAGCACTTCACTCCTGAAGATCGTCACGAGGGACGGACCGTCTAGATATCTGAACGACCTTCTTATAAGACCCAATAATTTATTTGCCTGATTTACCTTCTTCTCACAATGGCCCGAGAACTTCAGCTCATTGTCAACATACACACCTAGGTCCTTCTCACACACAGTCTCAACTAGTACATTTTCTTCATCCCGTTGGGACATATGGTACGCCTCCTTACCGTTGGTACGCCCCAGGTGCATCCTCTTACACTTCGTGACATTGAATCTCAGCAGCCATTCCTTCGACCATTCCTGGAGCCCACAGAGGTCCTTCTGCAGCTCTTCACAGTCCGCTTGGTTCTTAATTTCCCGAAATAACTTGGCGTCATCGGCAAACATTTGTATGGAGGAGTGTACAACGTCAGGCATATCATTTATGAAACAAACAAACAACAGCGGGCCCAATACACTACCCTGCGGTACCCCACTTGTTACAGGTACAGATGACGATTTCGTGCCATTAATCACCACACATTGCTTGCGGTCATGTAGAAAGTCTTCTATCCACGCTAGGACATTTCCCCGAATTCCGTACCCTTCCAGTTTGATTTTCAGCCTTTCGTGGGGTACACTGTCGAAAGCCTTGGCAAAATCTAGGTAAATATTGTCGATATTACCACCCCGTTCTAGAATATGGGTCCAAATATCCAATACCTTGAGCAATTGTGTCAAGCAAGAGCGCCCCGGCATAAAACCGTGTTGGCAATCTTTTACAAGGTTGTTTCGTAGTAGATGTTCCATCGCTGCATCTCTGATAATACTCTCAAGTACTTTACATATTATGCTGGTCAGGCTCACCGGTCTATAGTTGTTCGTGGAGTGACTATCGCCCTTCTTGAAGATAGGACTCACATAAGCCACTTTCCATTCACTGGGGACCATTTGTTCATCCAGGCATTTACAAAACAGAATCTTCAGGGGCTCTGCAAGCTCGTTGCACAGCTCCCTTAGCACTCTAGGATGCACCATGTCAGGTCCAGGACTCTTATGGACCTTTAGCCTGGACAGTTTATTTCTAATACCCTCTTCTGTGAACACAATGTGGGTCAGTGCTGTGTCGAACCGTCTGTCCTCAAACGCAGGAAGGTTAGTTGCATCCTCTCTTGTGAACACTGAGGAAAAGAAGCTGTTCAATGCCTCAGCTTTATCCTGGTCAGAATCTGCGTAACTACCATCTTCAAGCCTCAGGTCTGATACTCCTACTCGCGTTTTCAATTTCGACTTTGCATAGCGGTAAAACGCCTTTGGGTTTGACTTGACCTCGCGTGCAACCAGCCTTTGGAACTCCTTTTCAGCCCTCCTACACTCTATCTTTGCTTGGTTTCTGGCTCTTGCATACATCCTCCTGTCTTGCTCATCGTTTGACCCAACCCACGTCTTGAATTTCTGGGTTTTCTTCTTAATTTTGTCGACCGCCGCATGGTTCATGTGTAGGGATCCCCTCGTATTCCTAGAAGCACTGGGTTTGGTCTTGGGTATATATTTATCGATCAAATGGGTCATTTTACTAGTTATGATATTCAGCGTAGTGTCTGCGTTCTTGTACCTTAATAAGTCAGGCCAGTTGATACCCCTCATCTCTTCCCTCATCCCATTGTAATTTCCCTTGTAATATTTGCACCTTGGCCTGGCCTTATCTTGAACTAGGTAACAGTTAAATCTGAATGACAACACTGTATGGTGACTGGTGCCAACTGGGGCAAGGTGTTCCAGTTTGGCCACCATACCCTCCTCGTTTGTTATGATGAGGTCAAGTGGCTTGGGTGTTTGCTCCCCTCTGTAATGTGTCGGGTCTCTCACATGTTGGAACAGAAAATTATCTCTCAGAGTTTCTACAAAAAGAGTAGCAGGATTATTCAAGTCATTCGGGGTGGACTCGTTTCTCCAGTCGATGTCGCCATAGTTAAAGTCCCCCATGATAAGGAGGTGGCTGGGGTTGAGCATCGCCGCATTGTTTATTAAGGTTCTTAAGTTCCTTTGATTTAGTGGGCCACAGTTCGGGGATCTGTAGATACACCCGACGATAAGTAAGTCCCCTCCCTTTAATTTAATTTTACACCACTTGGACTCTTCAAAGACATCCTCTCCCTGTACCCTCGCCTGGCTGGCTCTAAGGTCTTGCCTAGCGTAGATAACCACACCCCTCCTGCAGGATTCTTGAGTTAGGTTCGTAAATGAGTCATATCCAGCAATACTGAACTCACATTCCTCTGGGTCGATTCTCCTGTTCTTGTACAACAGTTCTACAACTCCTACAATATCTGGTTGGTGTACTCTTAGTAGTGTTTCAAACTCCTCCCTCTTATCAAGGAACGTGTCGGTATTAGTGTACATGACATTCAAGCCAGAATTTGTTCTCGGTAACGTCTCTGCTCTTAGTAATAAACCCGCTCCACCCACATTCTCAGAAGCTGCAGCATTTGCTAAGTACACTGTATTTTGCAGGGTGTGGTTAAAAATTTCATTGTTTACACGGCGCTCGTTCCCTCCTGTCCGGTAGGCTGAGCCGGTGCCGCCTCCCGGGTGGGGGGTTGAGTGGGTGGAGGGTGCACTGCTGCCCCCTGGCCCTGTGTCGGCACACTTGTTTCCACTACCCTCCCCCTGAGTATAACCCATGTGCACCTGTCCCCGTTCCTTCTCGACTCCTCCCTCTTCTGCTTCAAGTCCAGCAGGAGCTTCTTGTGCTGTTCCCTCTGCATTACCGTGCGGTCTGGGTGAATAAATACATCTCGAAATGCCTCGCCCTGAAGTGAGAGAAAACGGACTCGTATGATGGGAGACCAAATAAAAAAAGCATAACTACATGTTTTGTGGACTACAGTATTGAGCGTATAACTTTTCATCACTTTGTAATAAACCTAGCCATGCCTATGTGTGTGTTTATGATATTTACCATAACATCATCATATATATATATATATATATATATATATATATATATATATATATATATATATATATATATATATATATATATATATATATATATATATATATATATATATATATATATATATATACTGTATATGGTATGAGAAACTCCAGAGACAACTGTTTTGTGATTTAGAATATTATTGATATGGATACGTATTTTTGTAAGCCCCGAGGAGGAAAACAAATATATTTTGTGGGTTTGAAATGGAATTCGTGCCAGAGCGAATGCATCCCAGCCTGGGTGGAGGGACGCAATGGCGTTGTTTACATAAGAAAGACGCGTCGGGTGGGCCCAGTAACAGGTGTGTCCCACGTATTTCTTGCTCTGCACGTATTTCTTGCTCTGTTAGGGTGTGTTTGATAGATTGAGCATAATAAGTGTTATATGAAGAATGTGATGATCTCGTGGAGGTAGTTTGTAAGCCAGAATAAGGCTAATTCTAGCGTTGCTCTACGGATATTCACCCTGGAGTGAGTCGACACCAACAGCCACCCCCCTGTGTTATGCTGGTGGGTTGGGTCTACTATGTACTGTTTAATTCCTACTACTGTGTGGTACTAATATGTGAATATGACAACAGTTGATGCTTGTTTTGTAAGTATAATGTATAATAACTAGTTATGTCTGATCTAGGTCCCAGCCTTTTCTACCTCAGGTGATTTCTAGAGTAAATAAATGAGAGAAACTACAAGTGTGTGTCCTATCCCTGAATTGGGAGTTCCCTACTTTGTGCTTTGCTACATGTGTATTTTGCTTATATTTCTATACTATATTTTTAAAAAAAATTCCATAGTATACCTACATTGTCTACAGTCATGCTAAACTGTATAACGGCATAGTTTATAAACATGATTATCCATTTGAAAACCAGTAACACAACTTAACTAAATAAATATTATTATTCTTGAATAAATTGTCAAATAATAAACAGATAGACTTCCAAACATTGTCTTAAAACAAGTCATCCTTACCAACTATGTTATTCAGTTAATAATAAATGTAAAAATAAAGTACCTGTACCAACCTTTTCCCCCGGATTGATGGTACAAGAGATACCTTTCAACACCAGCTCCAGGCCAGGACGGTAGCGTGTTTGGTAATTGTTGAAAGTCAGACTCCCATTCTCCGGCCACGACTTTGATGGTGAATGTTCTTTGACATTCCAAGGAGATTCCAGCTTCTCCTGTGAGGGAACACCATTTTACGTGATTGTGAACAAAACTCAATAAATATCAGCGGACGAGATCAATCATTTAATACATTTGTTTATTTTACTCATGACATAAGACCTCAAAATAAAAATTGTTTCTTAAAGATATTTGTGACAAGATATAACAGAGAAAACACATCAAACAGATGAATAATTTAATATTAAACTTGAAGGTTTACAATACAGTACTAAACAAATAATAAAATGTATCCCAATAAATAAATACAAAGAGGTCTTAGTAAAGCCAGGGAATGGGATTGGGTCTTGGAGAGAAAAAGAAAAAAAAAATTATTCGTTCCAGAAGGTCGTTCGTTAACCGAAAACTTCCTTAACCGAACCATTGTTTCAATAGGATTTTGGGTAATTGGTTCCAGCTCACCGAAAATTACATACAAAGTAAAAATAAATGCAGTAAAGTACAATTACTTCGAGGTGTGTATGTAGAAGGTTCCTGGTTGATGATGATGGGAAATAGAAGTGGGGGTGGAGGAGAAGGGACAAGAGAAGGAAGTGGGGGTGGAAGGGAAATCACCCCATGCTTCATGCCGTCATTTCACCCATAAAATTTTAAGTTCACTTGGCGTAATTCAAGATTATTTTCTTTAAATCAACACTGCACTGCACTATACAGCTCCTCCCCGACTTACGACCTACTCAACTTACGTCCACCCGCACTTACAACCTGCCTCAGTCGTACCAAAATTTGGTCAAATTACGTATTTTTGAGTCCCAAAGTCAGTATACAGACAAAATTTTCATCTGTAATTCACTTTAAAATGGCTGGCGAGCTTAAAAGTGAGTGTTTTGTGGCGCTGAGAAGAAAAAGAGACCCCCCATTTTAGATTTTCTATGTATTATTTAAGCATTTCCGACTTATGAGAGATTGGAGCGCCTGAACTTGCCTATCTTATACTACAGACGGGCAAGGGGTGACCTAATTTAGGTGTATAAGCATCTCCAGGGGCACTACTCAGTCAAGTGTCCTTACTTGGAGCTGGCGGACGCTCGCCCCACTAGGGGTCACAGCTCAAGATTGAAGAAGCCGCAAGTCAAGAAAACTGTGAGGGCAAACTTTTTCGAAGTGAGAGTTGTGAACTCTTGGAACAATCTACCAGAAAGTGTTGTGATGGCACCGAGTAGGAGCTCTTTCAAGACAAGACCTGATCAACACTGGAGCGAGTTCAGGTACATTGAGGAGCCGGTGCATGCCCAGTACTTGCCAACAGTGCGTAACAGAGAGTGACTGATTGCCCAAGCGTCTAACGAGCCAATCTTTTGGTGAAGAGGATAAAAGAATAGGAAAAGTAATCAGAGATGTGACTGATCGCCCAATCGGCTAACGAGCTGATCAGTGATGAAGAGGATAAAAGTATAAAAGTTGTCAACTCACAAATCAAGAGTCATCACTGCAGGAAATAATGTTACACAGTGGAGGAGCGGTAATTCAAGAAATACAAATGTATGTTCCTAAATTTGTAGGTACCTTTATTACTACCTCTTTTTTTTTAAATTCCATGGTCAAATATTCATAATTCACAGCCCAAGCTGTGGCATCAAGGACAGAACAGTTCTGGGTTTCAAATCAGAACATGACAAAATTATCAAGAACAATGGAGGGATCCTACACAGGCTACTGGCCTCCTCTCCTTGGCATGACCACCTCTCGTGGGAGTCATTAGGTAAATAAGGTATATAAGAAACCATAAAAGTTGTAAAAGCTTCATTTCAATGTTCTATTATGACTTAAAAATAAAGAAAATACTGTATAACAAAAATATAATTTCAATGCTCTAATGTGACTTTGAAATAAAGAAAACACAATATAAAACTCAAAAAAATGAAAAATGAAAAGTGGGGAATGAACTGTGTGTGGGTATTGAATTCCCGGTGCTTAGTTTACATAAGCAAACATCTGACCAGCCAGCCAGCCCCAGCATTATTTTGGTGTAATGGTGTCACCCAGAGGATGATTATGGAATATAAAATTTTTTTTTTTACAATATCTATTTGTTACTCTATTTTTTAATGTATTTTGTATGACATTTAGTGTTTATTAAAGCAGTTTTGGAACAGTTTATGCATATTTTTTGGCCTCTGGAACACAACTAATCATTTCCTCTTAAATAAATTAAACAATAATTTGTGATTTGATACTTTATGGTATCTTCTGGTACCTAGCCCGTAAATGATCTCAACTCCACTCTATAAAGGGAGAAAGATAAATAAGAAGGGAAGTGGTTAGGGAACATACCTCAATGTATTCCTTGATCCTCTCCACAGACACAATGTTTGCCTCTATTTCTGAGCTCATCCTCACCAAGAAGTTGAGAATTACTGTAACCTAACAGGTAAAAAGAACAATAATCTTAATGTAAATTATAGTACTGTAGAGTATTTATTTCCATAATCACTATACAGTATAAAGTACTGTACTGTGACTGCCATTTACTTCAACACAATACAGTACTGTATTAAGGTCTCCATTTGTCTTGAAATTTTTTATTTTCCCTAGAAAATAAAATAATAAAATCTGTTAACAAATAATCAAAGAATATTCTGTACTGTACCATGTTACAGTTAAGGAAATTTGAGGAAAAATCAATGACTATAAAAGAAATCCCATTTATACTCTGAGGAAGGAAACATCGACAAATACAGTGTCAGTCATACAGAGTCAGTACGTTCTGTATATAACACTCATGACACCACCCACATTCCGAGTTTGGAAATGAATCATTACACTATAACATCTTAGCCATAAAATCTGTTCACTGGTTTACCTGTTATAAAATAATCAGTCACCAAGTGTTTGTTTTGTTGGAAACATAGAGAATGGATATGACTGCACTGTAACAAGTGGAGAAGTTTATATGGCAAATTTAGCAAAATGCAAATGAGAATTTAACTTGAATTTTGGGGTGTAAGAATGTCAAACATACCATGACCACTAGCTGTAATGGATAAAGAAAAGAACCATCACTGGAAGCTGAGGCTAAAATGAGATATGTACTAAATCTTGACTATTCTTTTTCTTCTATTTTGAATTTAGACAGGTAATAATCCAGGGGTATCACCAGGTTTACTTACATTAAGGGCATAAGTTATGGACAAACCAACAATGCCTGAGCTGACTGAACCTCGTCCAGCCACAGCAAAGACGGCAGCAGCAAAGGTGATGAGGTTTCCAATAACTTCCAGCCGCACTCCTAACCACCTGGTGCGAAAAATAAAGAAAAAAAATTAGACAAAAGTACAGTATCAACTTTCACTTTGGAGATTAATATATATATAAATCAAGGCATGAAGCTGGAAATTCTATTTTCTTTCTAACAACTCCTCCAGTTGGCTCTTGTTACTCTGCATACCCAGAAGGCAGGTGAGTTAATTTTCCTCCATGGCATCTGAGGCTGACCTGTCCCTCCCCGTCACACATCCACCGGTCTCAAAAGAGGGGCATTAGTGGTAAAGGTTGCCCTCTACAGGCAAAAGGTCCAGTGTAGTTCATCCCCACTTGGTCAGTACACATCTGCTGCCATTAAGTCAAATTTCGGTACCAGTCCACTCTACGTATTCAGTCCTCAGCTGACAAGATGTTTCTCTCTGAGTTCTGCTGCACAACTGTCACACTAAGTACTGTATTTTGACACTTATTGGGTAGTTGGTGGGGATTACCACAGTTTTACATGTTTTATTTATCATCAGATGGTTAATTAATCTTTCATATATTGTTTCACTTAGGATTGTTGACATGCTTGGTGACTTAAGTGATGGATACCTGGTGGACAGGTGGTGGAGTGGACATCATTTAGTATTGTGCTGTCACTTCATGATGCAGAAACTCAGTCTACCTTAGGATATATTTATTCCAGGTGTTGGGTCTGACATAAAGCTTTTGAAAGGATATTCTGGTTCCCTGGTATAAATGATCTGGGTTGGAGCTTCAAGAAAGTTCCATCTTAGAAGTAAGTACTGTACTATCATAGTAATTATAGTTCTACTCATGGTGGTAATTCCACCCATGATTTAGTTGGATGTGCAGATAATGTTTTCTTTTGGGTAACTTAGTTTTTTCTTTATACTGTACTGGATTTGACTTACCCGGTAATTAAATTTAATACAGTACAGTAGTACCCCACTTAACGCGGTCAATAAAACCCACAGGGTACCGTGTTAAGTGAAAACCGCGCTAAGTGAACAACAGAACATATGGGATTAATTCCAATAGAAACTGGCCCATCCCCAAACTCCACTTTTTCCGACACAATACCTATGTTCTAGTAAAAATAACATCTTAATTTTATGATGGTACATGCACACAATTAATACTTAAGAGAAATAGAGAAATACAGTCGCCAAGTTAATGTCCATTCAAATAATGGACTCAACTCCCTCCCCCTCTTCTCACACTACACTGCTGGCTCTTCCCTCTCTGAGAAATTTTTTGGGGAAAACCACTAAATTTTAAAAAATAATACCTCAAACTAAAGTTAGGATAATACAATTGACATTGCTGGATTCCTTGTAAGACCAGGAATATTTTGAATATAAATGTCATATATTTTGCACAAAAGGTAACATATTTACTCAGAGTAAACATTATATCTAAAATTTGTATGTCTAATGCAAAATCTATGATGTTTATATTCAAAATGATCACCAAATTGTAAGAATTCCAGCAATGTAAATTATATTCTGGCCGGGTAATTTGTATGAATTTTATGAGCTAAAACAAATATCTTCAGTTAATAAAAAAAAATATATTATTCAGACACTATCTGTCAATCAAAGTACCCCACCTTGCCTTCCCCCCTCTTCCAACCCTGCGGTCAGTCCCAACCCTCCCCCCACCCCCCACCAATCCTCCCTTCAAGAGATGTTGGGTGAAAAAACTAAATTTTAACATTTAGTATTAAATAATACCTCAGATTAAAGTTAGGATACAGTGAGTTCTGCTATAACGCGTGTTTTGATAACGCGAATTTGCTCTAACGCGATTTATGAATTCGGAACAATATTTGTATAACGCGAACGCTTGTTTGTTATAACGTGATTTTTGCTTACTATTTCTCCAATTTTGTGGTATTAACTGTGAATATGGTAAAGAAGAATATCTCCAAAAAGCGTTCTGATGATAGAATTCCCGGTGATTATCGTAAAAGAAAGGATATAACACTTGAAGAGAAGCTCGATGTTATCAACCTCAAAATCACCCTTCTCCCCCATCAAGTTACGTTCATATTTTTTCAAGGTAAAGTGTTAAATTTACTGTATGATTTCATTATTAGATATGAATGTAACATTTATTTAGACTGTGCTATCCTTTGTGTTAGGCTAACTACTAAATTTTTTCGATTTCGCGTAATCTGCACCTAACCCTATTTTCTCCATAAGCCCTGTTATTTCTCTTACGCGATTTTCTATAACACGACATTTTACAAGAACACAATTATCGCGTTATAGCAGAACTACCTGTAATATAACTGACATTGCTGGATTCCTTGTAAGACCAGGAATATTTTGAATATAAATGTCATATATTTTGCACAAAAGATAACATATCTACTCAGAGTAAACATTACATCTAAAATTTGTATGTCTAATGCAAAATCTATGATGTTTATATTCAAAATGATCATCAAATTATAAGAATTCCAGCAATGTAAATTATATTTTGACCGGGTAATTTGTATGAATTTTATGAGCTAAAACAAATATCTTCAGTTAATAAAAAATAAATAAATATTCTTCACATGGTAACAGATGGTCGGTCGGTCGGTCGATCCCTCCCTCCCCCCCACCCCACCAGATGTGTGGGAAAACCAGAATATTTACCTTTTTAGTAATAAATAATACCTCAAACTAAAGTTAGGATAATATAATTGACATTGCTGGATTCCTTGTAAGCCCAGGAATATTTTGAATACAAATGTCATATATTTTGCACAAAAAATAACATATTTACTCAGAGTAAACATTATATCTAAAATTTGTATGTCTAATGCAAAATCTATGATGTTTATATTCAAAATGATCATCATATTGTAAGAATTCCAGCAATGTAAATTATATTCTGGCTGGGTAATTTGTATGAATTTTATGAGCTAAAACAGGCAGTCAGGCAGGGTGGCGGGTGGGGCGAATCTAAAAATAGCTCTCGAGCCGGACACTCACTGCGTATACGTGGAAAAAACCCGCGTTAAGTGAAAGTTCAGCTCTGGCGAGGCACCGCGTATACGGTAAAACGCGCTAAGTGAAACCGCGTTAAGCGGGGTAATACTGTATATTAAATTAAGACTTTGGACAAACTGAAATCCCTAAGAAGATCTGACAGTTAGCTACAGTCAACCCTCACTTTACGCGGTCCCACATTCCGCGTTTCCACGTTTACACGGTGCTCTGCCAGAACCCAGGATGCTCACATTCCGCGGTGGGTGTACCCCTTTACACGGGTGAAGAATAATTTTTTTATTTAGCTCATAAAATTCATACAAACTATCCGGCAAGAATATAATTTACATTGCTGGAATTCTTACAATTTGATGATCATTTTGAAAATAAACATCATAGATTTTGCATTAGACATACAAATTTTAGATATAATGTTTACTCTGAGTAAATATGTTATCTTTTGTGCAAAATATATGACATTTGTATTCAAAATATTCCTGGTCTTACAAGGAATCCAGCAATGTCAATGATATTATCCTAACTTTAGTTTGAGTTATTATTTATTACTATACCTGGTTTTCCCCCCAAAATTTCTCAGAGAGGGAAGAGCCAGGAGTGTAGTGTGAGAAGAGGGGGAGGGAGTTGAGTCCATTATTTGAATGGACATTAACTTGGCGTCTGTATTTCTCTTAAGTATTAATTGTGTGCATGTACCATCATAAAATTAAGATGTTATTTTTACTAGAACATAGGTATTGTGTTGGAAAAAGTGGAGTTTGGGGGTCAGCTGGTCTCTATTTCATTTAATCCCATATGTTATGTTATTCACTTTACGCCTTTCTCACTTTCCGCGGTACCCTGTGGGTTACATTAACCGCGTAAAGTGAGTGTTGACTGTATACTGAATGGGGTCATTAGGTGAACAAGTCAATACAGTGTCTTCTGTTCAACTGTGAGCATGAGCCTGGCCTGACTACCATCCTAGATGGGACTGCTGGAGTACAGATGAATCCACTTAGCAATGCAAATCCTCTCCCACTCTGAGGTGTGAACCCTGAACTCTGAAGTGTTGGGGTAGGTGTCTTTGTGTGGGGAGGGGGAGAAGAGATGGGTTACTGAGAGTAAGGAGGGAAAGAGTACAGTATATCAGTTGAGAGAGAGAGCTTAAAATGCAGAATCACACTTTGCCTATACCGACGGGTTTCCTTAGCCGAGTGTAATCGTCTAGCACTAGCCACATGAAAATATTAAAGTTACAATAGGTTGAGAGGGGATAACCAGAATAAAATAGATAAGAAGAGAAGGAATTAATTAGGAATCAAAGCAATTAGGCAGTGGGCACCACGTCTTTTATATGGGGATTAACCCACAAAGGCACAGGTTCACCAACTCACATCGAGGCCTGGGGGAGGGGCGAAAAATAAAAAATAAATATGTAAATGGAAAAAATTTAACAAATAAAGTGTGAGAAACGATGTATATGTTGTGGTATCAATGAAAGAGAAATAATTGAGACCCTGCAATTGTGTGTAAATGAGACAGAAAGTCAGGGCAGCAACCTGGAACTTGGTCACAACATTTGTGATGCCATATGGCAGCAGGGTCTACCATTAGACAATATATTATGCTTCCAATATCTTCCCAGGCGGTAGTACAGCCTCTTCCACTTACAACTGATACAATCAATGTTGTAAATGCACCTTCTCTGTGTGGTGTGAACCCTGGGAGTATCTTGAATCCAAAGCATTCGCGAGGGAAGGAGAGATGGAGGCCGGGGTAGGAACAGAGCCAGTTGGTGGATGGGGCAATGCAGGGGTTGAGGAAGGTCAGAGTGTAGGGGGGCTAGAGGGGTGGGAGAGAGTTAAGCCTGTGCAGCTACAATGCAGGATATATTATGCAAGGATAAAGATATGTAGGACAGCACTTGATTTGATTTGTTTCAGGATATCAATATTATTACCTTCTGTTTTACTTAATTTCTGTTACAGATCCTTTAATACTATGCCGGTGTGGTTTTCAGTTGCAGAGTGCCACTTAAGAATAATT